TGGTTTCCACAGACAGCCTGAGTGGCATGGAAAATTTCAGTTGTTACATCATGTTCGTCCAGAGAATTGCAGCAGTGATTGAAATGATTTTGCAGTGGTTGGAATAATGCTGAGTGAAAGGTGAGAGGAAGTTATTACACTTCAGAGATAGCAAATATGAAGTGGATGCAGAGATGGCTTTCCATTTATCCAGACTCTACCTGTGGGCTGTCGGAGTTGGTAAACCCACAAATATTTGTAGCTGATATCCTCATAGCTTCTGTGCCTCACCTAGCACCCTTCTCAGCCTTCTATAAAATTTAAAGGGGGGAAGAATGAGAGGAGCTTTGATAAGGTACAAGACAGTTTACAGGTAAAGCATTTGAGTTAACAAATTTAGGTTAACAATGCCTTATTGTGGTGTTTAATAGTCTGACAATCTATACACAATACACAAATATATGTGAACGTGTGTTAACTAGTATTAATGTATTAACTAACAATTGGCTAGTTAATTATATTGTTACTGCTCTTTAGCCTTCTTTCCTTGAAAAAATAAAAGAACAAGAATTTCTCAGTCAAAACTGCATATAATCTCTGTTTCTGTCAAATTCAAGAAATTTAAGTGTAACAAATATACTTACTGATTTTACCCCTCTTGTACTGCCATTTAACAGCTGTTCCTGAACTGGCTTTACAGGCTGCTTAAGGACCATGTGAGGATGAACAATACTCTAAGTTCTCTCATGCCTGAATGCAAAGCATATTTTCTCCAGTGCATACAACTCTCTGCAGTACTTCTTTGCCGTCATAACTTAAAGAAAAGACCAATAGCAGCGTTCGTTAGGGCTATCAAGTTTATTGTCTATCAGAAAGTATACGTAGAGTAGTTTATTTTCTGATTGGGATCTGTTTTCTTTGCTCTGAAATTGCTGGTTTTAACTCTGAAGTCGATTTTGCTGTTCAGGTGGTTCAAGGTCTGATAGTGGCTCCCAGGTTCACTTGTCAACAGCACACCTCAAAACCAGGAGCCTTGTCTTGCTGTTCAGGAGGAAAAGGCAGTAATCGTAACTGGTTTATTTGTTGCAGCTGCAGAAACTGAAACGATCACTCTCCTTCAAGACCAAGAGCTTGCGGAGCAAAAGTGCAGACAATTTCTTCCAGAGGACTAATAGCGATGTGAAACTGCAAGTGGACTTGATGCCTGAGGTGAGCACGAGCACTGGGCAGCTCCCCAGCTCAGAGAGCCAGGCATCTTCCCCCACCAGAGCTCAGCAGCTGCCAGAAAACAACAAGGCTCACATCTTCCAGGAGCACATCTTCAAAAAACCCACCTTCTGCGATGTCTGCAACCACATGATTGTTGGTAAGATACAATTTTTAAATCTGCGTGGATGTCTATGCTAGAACTTGCAGGATGACCTTTCTATAACTTACGTGAACCCAGATGTCTACTTGAGAATATTAATACAAAAAGGATCTGGACTTAAGTCACATCTGCCACAGGCTAATGCAAGTTCTGTATTTGTTGACAGATCTCTTGCCTTGCAGACACATACTGTTACCACAAATCACAGGTGGCAGGCTCAGCTAGAGTCAAATTCCTCTCTTGTTCAGGTTATACTGAGCACCAAGCACAAACTCTGTTGTATGTTGCGTTTGAAACAGTAGAAATCTGTCTTTTCAGTAGAAATTTGTATCCACTATCCTTACTGTCTTCCACAGCAGTAATTCTAAATCTCTTGCTCTTCGTGTCTGCCCCCACACCCTGCAGTGTCCCTAGTTCCTATTCACTGTGGCAATCGTGCCTACCTCCTCCAGCTGCCTTGCATCTCTCCCAAGTGATAACTGGGCAAGAGTAGCATCTGCTGAGTGGTAGACTCCGAGCTGCTTGTGTGTGTGTTGGCTGTCTAGGACACCTGTTTCGGAAGACCGGGTCAACAGAACAAATAACAGCTGAATTCCCACTGCAGACTTTCTTGGGATTCTTCTACCTGATCCCTGCTACTCACAAAACCTCACACGAACTTTATACCTTTGAAAGATCACCCTATCTTCTCTCTGAAACTGTCCATGGGTATGGAAGTTACTGCCAGGGACTGACTGACAGGCAGACATAGAGGACAGAGCTAATAATTTATTATCCTCTTTGGTGTGCAAAGAGAAACTCCATACTGAGCCCTGCTTGTAAGGTCATTTCTGGTGCTGTGTGGAAGGCCTGAAAAACCTGCCTTCATGCTGCAGATTACCTAAGGCACTGTGCAAGGAGAGGTCAGGAAAGAAGTGGTGGCAGGGGGTGTAGAATATGCGTGGCCACTACTGTGGGAAGCTGCAGGAGTTGCTATTCGTAAGTCTGGTCCTAGAAATTCACGTTGTTGCGACTAGCTTGTTATGCACATGATTTCATCTTCTTGCTACTTATCATCTAGTTGTCTCAGCATAGTAGATCAGGAATAAATTCAGTAGCAGTGTACCAGTGTGAAAGCGAGTGACACAACTTCCAGGTTTTTAAGCAGGACAAGGAGTAAAATGCTGCTTCAGTTCATGTAAAAGTAGTGCAATCTTTGAGTACAAACTACTGTCTGTAATTTGTCTAGCTTAATGTAAGAAACTCATGTCTCGGTGTGGAAGTCATTGCCTTTTAATAACAGTAAGGTAAGTTCTTGAAAGATGCTGATAGGATTGCAAAACCTTTTTCAGAGGATGGTACCTCCCTTTTCACAGGAGGGTGCCCAGTGTCCCCTGTTTGTATGGGGAAACTCGTGTTCTTTGGAAAAAGCAGTTGTCTGCAGGACCTTAAATCTGATGCAAGACAATCCTGCTTCCATAAATTAAAGAATAAAACACTTGAGGCCTGATTTCATCCTCTCTGCACCACAGCTTTACTGAACCAAGGGAAACAAAAGAGTTTTGATCTGGGAATTTTAGTGTTATTTTCCAGTCTTTTAACGTTTTTTTCTACTTTAAGTGGTAGAACAAGTCAAAGGGAGAAGGAGTAAAGCATCAATGTCAGGGAAGTTCGTGGGTCAGGGATTGACAGTAAGCCTGGAAGATAGGCAGTTAGTTCAAATAACTTCTTGTATGGAAGCAGGCCCAGAACTTGTCTCCATTTGTAACGTGGATGAATGTTCTATCAAAACTTGGTTTCACAAACATACACTGCAAATATAAGACCTTCGCGTTTCTGGCAGCTTCTCATGAAGTTACATGGAGATTAGCATCATCACAAACCTGCACGACTCAGCAATACTCTTTCAAAACACTGCTGCTCAAGATGAATTATTACTGGCAGCAAACTTTGCAGGGAGTAACTCCAGTTCATAAACACCCGTGCCCTTCTCCTTTGCTGGGCAATCTGTGTCCCGCCTGGGATAGGAAAGTCCTGAAGCACAGCTATAATCTTCAAAACATCGGCTTTAACCCCACCTGCCTTCTGAACTTTTTCTGTGCTTTGCTATCTTCTGAGGGCTTCGCTTTTCTGTTCTGTGTCTTAGCCACTTCGTTAGTGAAAGAAGCCTTTCATAATTGCTAAAGAAGCTAATGTGACCTATTTTGTCTGGCGGCAGGCTGTCAGGTGAATCGCTCTGACTTCCTCCAGCACATCTTTGCTTGGAGTTAGAGCAGAAAAGGTGTTAAGAGTTTTAACTTATAATGCCTTGGAGTCTAGATACCCCGATTCTCATAGACAAATGTCTACTCTGTTCCTGTAATCCTCTCTCTTTGATCCTTACTGGAGTCATGCCTGGCTTCACTGTATTGTATTTTAAGCAGCAAGGGAGATCTGGATCTAACTCTTTGCAACTTGATTAATCCATATAAGTGTGCGACTGTTGGTTATGGGGATAGTGAAGCAAAACAGGCAGCTTTTCAGGAAATCGTGTCAAGCCTGCTCCCAAAGGCAGACTGAAAAAATTTCACTTCTATGCAGGGTCTCTGAGTTTACACTTGCAACATGGAGCCTATTTGTTCTCTCTATTTGCGTTTTTCATGGGCAGTGACATTTGAGAGTAATGAGTCTATGGCTTTAAATTCCTTATTGATGAGAATAAAGGCAAAGACAGATACATGTTTTGAAGGCTGGGGAAAGGGTCCAGGAAAATCCCGACTTGACTTTAGATGGTTTCAATTTTGCCACCAAGAATGATTCCAGGTTCACCTTAAATGGCTCTCTGGTCCATGAACTAAGCAGCTGTGTTTGGTACAGGGCAGCATGATGAACTGTGCATAGCATGAGCATGCAGTACGCGCTTCAGTCTCACTTGCGTGGCAGAATCTGTTCGTAGCTTCAGAGCGAGCAGGACACTGGAAGCAAAGGCAGCAGGCTCCCTTCGCTGCTCTTTTCACAAGAAAATTAAAGCAAAGGAACGTGAAACATTATCTTTCTACAAAAAAAAAAAACGTGTGCATCGTCTCTCTCTGATTGTTAGGCACTCTGAGACAAATGTTGCCTTTGGGATGCAACACGTGTGCCTGTTTGTTCATTTGACAGAAGTACAGTCATAAGATAAAGGCCAAATACACGTAATTGGTTTCAGCATTCAGAGGGAGAGGTTTACTAAGATCAGTATAATGTAAACTTACTCATTCAGATGCTTTTCATGTATCCCAGAGTGCAATGCAACATATTCAAAAGAAACTCTGTTTATTGGTTTGATTTCAAAAAATTAAAAACAGTATTAATAGTGCATTTCATACCTCACATGAAAGACGAGTTGAAATGTTCCTACTAACTATACCAGACTGGGGCTAAAGTTCCACCTCAGTAAATAAAAGGAAAATTTTTTACAGAAGCAGCAATTTTCTGCCCAATGAAATAAGGGAGAAATTTTCAGATTCAAGGGAGCTCTGAGGAGTGCATGGAGGATCCAGTTTACTTTAATGGGGCCTTCTAACAGCATCAAATACTCAAGTGCAATCGTCAGTTCTAATATTGAAGTCAACAGTAATAATTCACATAATTTCAGAGCAAATCAATAGTATGTTGAAGCAGACTCTGTATTCCTTTCTGCTGCTCAGTTTTCTGCTGCTGTGAGCTCCAAGCATTGGTTAGTTTAGGACTGAGGATTCAGCTCCATGGTGGGTTACGTATTTTCCTAAATATATCCACCCATGAACATCCTCTCACAGTATGACTCTTAGAAACTTGTTCATTTGGTGTTCTTACTAGTAGTATTTATTACTATTTTAATATCTAACTCCAGCAAGGGAAAATTTTGAAAATCAAAGTGTCTTGTGGAGTGTATCATTAGACCATTATTTAAAAGACACTGGTTTGTTTATTTTACATTACTGTGGAAAGAAAATCAAGTCAGAACACTTCCGAGTTTGCTTCGTGTTATCTACTATTTTCTGTGTTTAGCAAGAATGTGATAAGCTTTGGCAATATGCAATAAGGGGAGGCAAAACTGCCTGCCACCAGCAAAGACAGAAACTATTAAATTAATGTTCCATCAGATTACAGTCTTAAACTATGCTGATCAGAAGCAAGTTCTTGCTCTTCTTCAGTCTCTGGTGTGTCATCAGTCATCTCTGTGATAGTCTTGAAGAAAACATGATGTCAGTACTCTACTCTTGAAAAACATTGTGTATTTTAAAAAAAACCTCCATCTGTAGACTTCTCAACATTTTACTCATTTGCAGTTCATTTCCTGTGCTGACTCACATGGAAAAAATGTTATTTTCCACACATTCCAAGCATATTACATGCAATTAATGTATTTCCATCTAAGTCAAATTTAAGTAGTGTAGCAAAAAAGTATGCCACTTTGCTTCTAAAAATAGCTGACTTTAAAGTCATTCCTTTAAAGCTATGTTTTAAGGAAATAGCTGCTCATTTATAACATCATTGTATGTTTCTTTGTGGTTTAAAGGTGTACTTAGCAGTTTCATTCCATGCTTAACCTTAACTGACACAGAATTTTGACCAACCACCTGTTTTGTTGACATACATGTTGAGGCATCTTTGCCTGGAAAGACATCCTAGAGGAGCACAGACTTTCAGGAAAAAAAAAAAAAACCCACAAAATTGTGATCTGCAATGTTCAATATCAATCAAAACCAGATTCTTCCGGGTCATGCCATCACTATCTTAGGTACCTGAGATATATGCATTTATAGTTGGTCTCAGAGCAATCGAGTTTCTGGTTTGCAGATTTTCCAGACCTTTGCAGATCTGAGGGTAAATAACTCAGTACCTGCCTTCTCAGGGAACTGACTGGGTTCCAGTCAGAGAAACCTGTAGAAAACAAACAAGCAAGCAAAAAGATGAAACCAGTAATAACCCCTAGCACAGTTTGCTTCCAGTCTACTAATCAACAGTGCTTAAGCAGTGAAATTGTGCTATCCCTTCAGTATTGACTCACTCCC